AGGTAAAAAAATAACACAACAAAAATCACGACGTTTCGGCCACAACACAAGCGGCCTTCATCCGATGTGCTGTGACTTCTTGTCTCGTTATCTGTTAAAAGCTCTAACAGATAGGTGAAAACCCTCCCCGTAGAGTCTATCAATTCTAGATTTGAAGCTTTCGTGACTGCAAGGATCCATACTCTTTGGTTCTATTCGGTAAAATCACGTAAGTAAAAAAAACCATGACGTTTCGGCCACAACACATGCAGCCTTCATCTGATGTGCTGTGACTTCTTGTCTCGTTGTCTGTTAAAAGCTCTAACAGATATGTGAAAAACCTCCCCGTAGAGGCTATCAATTCCACATTTGAAGCTTTCGTGACTGCAAGGATCCATACTCTTTGGTTCTATTCGGTAAAGTCACGTAGGTAAAAAAATAACACAACAAAAATCACGACGTTTCGGCCACAACACAAGCGGCCTTCATCCGATGTGCTGTGACTTCTTGTCTCGTTATCTGTTAAAAGCTCTAACAGATAGGTGAAAACCCTCCCCGTAGAGTCTATCAATTCTAGATTTGAAGCTTTCGTGACTGCAAGGATCCATACTCTTTGGTTCTATTCGGTAAAGTCACGTAAGTAAAAAAAAATAAAACAACAAAAATCACGATTTTTCGGCCACAACACAAGCAGCCTTCATCTGATGTGCTGTGACTTCTTGTCTCGTTATCTGTTAAAAGCTCTAACAGATAGGTGAAAACCCTCCCCGTAGAGTCTATCAATTCTAGATTTGAAGCTTTCGTGACTGCAAGGATCCATACTCTTTGGTTCTATTCAGTAAAGTCACGTAGGTAAAAAAATAAAACAACAAAAATCACGACGTTTCGGCCACAACACAAGCGGACTTCATCCGATGAGCTGTGACTTCTTGTCTCGTTATCTGTTAAAAGCTCTAACAGATAGGTGAAAACCCTTCCCGTAGAGGCTATCAATTCTAGATTTGAAGCTTTCGTGACTGCAAGGATCCATACTCTTTGGTTCTATTCGGTAAAGTCACGTAGGTAAAAAAATAACACAACAAAAATCACGACGTTTCGGCCACAACACAAGCGGCCTTCATTCGATGTGCTGTGACTTCTTGTCTCGTTATCTGTTAAAAGCTCTAACAGATAGGTGAAAACCCTCCCCGTAGAGTCTATCAATTCTAGATTTGAAGCTTTCGTGACTGCAAGGATCCATACTCTTTGGTTCTATTCGGTAAAGTCACGTAAGTAAAAAAAAATAAAACAACAAAAATCACGATTTTTCGGCCACAACACAAGCGGCCTTCATCTGATGTGCTGTGACTTCTTGTCTCGTTATCTGTTAAAAGCTCTAACAGATAGGTGAAAACCCTCCCCGTAGAGTCTATCAATTCTAGATTTGAAGCTTTCGTGACTGCAAGGATCCATACTCTTTGGTTCTATTCGGTAAAGTCACGTAGGTAAAAAAATAAAACAACAAAAATCACGACGTTTCGGCCACAACACAAGCGGCCTTCATCCGATGTGCTGTGACTTCTTGTCTCGTTATCTGTTAAAAGCTCTAACAGATAGGTGAAAACCCTCCCCGTAGAGTCTATCAATTCTAGATTTGAAGCTTTCGTGACTGCAAGGATCCATACTCTTTGGTTCTATTCGGTAAAGTCACGTAAGTAAAAAAAAATAAAACAACAAAAATCACGATTTTTCGGCCACAACACAAGCGGCCTTCATCTGATGTGCTGTGACTTCTTGTCTCGTTATCTGTTAAAAGCTCTAACAGATAGGTGAAAAACCTCCCCGTAAAGGCTATCAATTCTAGATTTGAAGCTTTCGTGACTGCAAGGATCCATACTCTTTGGTTCTATTCGGTAAACTCACGTAAGTAAAACAACAAAAACCATGATGTTTCGACCACAACACAAGCGGCCTTCATCTGATGTGCTGTGACTTCTTGTCTCGTTGTCTGTTAAAAGCTCTAACAGATAGGTGAAAACCCTCCCCGTAGAAGCTATCAATTATAGATTTGAAGCTTTCGTGACTGCAAGGATCCATACTCTTTGGTTATATTCAGTAAAGTCACGTAGGTAAAAAATAAAACAACAAAAATCACGACGTTTCGGCCACAACACAAGCGGACTTCATCCGATGAGCTGTGACTTCTTGTCTCGTTATCTGTTAAAAGCTCTAACAGATAGGTGAAAACCCTTCCCGTAGAGGCTATCAATTCTAGATTTGAAGCTTTCGTGACTGCAAGGATCCATACTCTTTGGTTCTATTTGGTAAAGTCACGTAGGTAAAAAAATAAAACAAAAATCACGACGTTTCGGCCACAACACAATCGGCCTTCATCCAATGAGCTGTGACTTCTTGTCTCGTTGTCTGTTAAAAGCTCTAACAGATAGGTGAAAAACCTCCCCGTAGAGGCTATCAATTCTAGATTTGAAGCTTTCCTGACTGCAAGGATCCATACTCTTTGGTTCTATTCAGTAAAGTCACGTAGGTAAAAAAATAAAACAAAAATCACGACGTTTCGGCCACAACACAAGCGGCCTTCATCCAATGAGCTGTGACTTCTCGTCTCGTTGTCTGTTAAAAGCTCTAACAGATAGGTAAAAAACCTCCCCGTAGAGGATATCAATTCTAGATTTGAAGCTTTCGTGACTGCAAGGATCCATACTCTTTGGTTCTATTCGGTAAAATCACGTAGGTAAAAAAAATAAAACAAAAATCACGACGTTTCAGCCACAACACGAGCGGCCTTCAGCCGATGAGCTGTGACTTCTTGTCTCGTTGTCTGTTAAAAGCTCTAACAGATAGGTGGCCGAAACGTCGTGATTTTTGTCTTTTTTTTACCTACGTGACTTTACCGAAAAGAACCAAAAAGTGTGGATCCTTGCAGTCACGAAAGCTTCAAATCTAGAATTGCTAGCCTCTACGGGGAGGGTTTTCACCTATCTGGTAGAGCTTTTAACAGACGAGACAAGAAGTCACAGCTCATTGGATGAAAGCCGCTTGTGTTGTGGCCGAAACGTCGTGATTTTTGTTGTTTTATTTTTTTTTACCTAGGTGACTTTACCGAATAGAACCCAAGAGTAAAGATGATGATGACTTTTCTGGGAACACAGTTGTTCCCGCGAGTGTTTTTCCGATGAGTCTGGGACATTTCCATTCAGCATGCTCGCGGAAAAGAAGAGGTGGACTGACGCGGTACGGGAGGATGTGAAGCTGAGTGGGCTTTTCGAAGACCGAAGGCTCGTGTCAAGATCGGCGTCTCTCGAGGATGCTTATGAAGGACGCTGCTGAGCAGTTGGAGGCAGCTGCCCTCCAACAACAACAGAGGGCGGAGGAGCGACGCGCACAACAACGAATTGAGCGCCGGGTGACTAAAATACAGCAAGATAGCATAGTGGGGAGCACAGGTAGTGCATCTGTCAGTCGACTCACGGCACCTGGGTCTGTCCAGTAAACCTCTTGCCGGTGAGCCTTCGACACTTCACGTGACAACCTTAAAAGTGCACCTAGCCTGGTAGCGATGCTGTGCTGATGTCGAATGGCGGCTGTTGTAATCGTGTTGTTGTTGTAGTGTACGGGATACTGTGTACGTGGACTGTGATTACGGTGGGTGATACCCGTGTCGATGGTCGGGGCTCTTTTTCCACGAAAGCCATCACGTTCTAATAATAGCGGCACCGTTCTTAGCGAGCCCTCTTACCCAGAGGAGTCGGGAATCACGTCGTTTTGTGAACGTCCAACACAGAGAGAGAGAGAGAGGGGAGAGAGATCCGTGTGAGCTGCTGTCCCATCACCGGAGCGAGGCGTAAAGTCAGTCGCTCACGGACGAGTTGCGGCCTTTAACTCAGAAGTGACGGCGATTGCTTCCACAACTCTCTGGGAAGTAAATGGCATCGTGCAGAGCCCCCCCCCCCCCCCGTCTCCAGGAGTCGTGTAGAGGCAGCAATGAGGTCAAGGGCCAGTCAATCCCCCCTACACCTCCCCAGCCCCTCCACTCCTCCCCAGCCCCCCCCCACACTCCTCCCCAGCCCCCCCCCCCCACACTCCTCCCCAGCTCCCCCCACACTCCTCTCTCGGCCACACGCAGTTGTTGTTATTGATGAACGCGTTGAGTATTTGGCTGTTTTTTTAATCCTTGCGCACCACTGCCAATGCAGCATCAACCAACATAATTTTCACGGAGATGTTTGGCCAGTTCCTTTTAAAAATATCATTACAATATTTGTTGTTAAATTAAAGAAAAAACAGTTACACAGATAATAATCGTATGTTAACAAATCATCTTTTCAATTACATGGCACGTAAATTACTCATCATCGCAAAGTGCCTTACATCACGGCTCATCTCAATCATTCCAAGGGCACCCCCAGTAGCAGCTGTCACTGTGGGCACAAGGGCATTAGTCTGCCAGCTAGTTGGGGTTGGGGGGGATAATTATTCGGAGAAATTTCCAGAAGTATTTTTTCTAAATTGGAAAAATTGGACCATGACGCACCCCGTTTTGAATGACTGTGCGTGATTTTAGGCTGAGTACACCCTACTGGACATCTGTGAAAAATAGATGTATAGCTCATCGGATTCCTCCAGTATGAGTAAATGTGTTGCATAGCCGAAGTGGTGACATGGCACAGCGGTAGTGAGATCTCTGCTTGATCCCGAGGCTTACGGTTCAAATCCAGAAGGCTGCTCCAGTTACCACTGTGAGTACGAATCATACATTACGCGCCTTCATGGTAACAATGCTAACTGGAGGTGGGTGGGAGACGACGATTTAACTAAAACTATATATAAATGAGCATGCCAATGTTGAGGGGGGTTTTTTTTCTTTTAATTAATTTCCAATGATACATTCTGAATCCACCGGACGCATTTCACGGCGAAACCTGGCGCTTTGTAAACGGCATTCTCCCATTGGTCGGATCGAGCGTCGCACTCCACGGCAGGGGCGAACCGCTCGGTCCTCTTGTACATTGGCATCGTGTGTTTGTAAGCGTTAAGCACGAGGTATGAAGCGATGATGAAACGTGATCTTATGGATACGTTTTGGGCTCAACTACTGCGTGTGCGTTCCGGATTTCATCTTTGCAAGACCTTCAAGAGCATCACTGGAATTGTCACGAGCCCATTGAGTGAGTTATATTATCACTTTGCGTGTGTGAGGTGTTGTGAGCTAATACGATCGCGTGCGCTGTGGTTTGATTGACATGCTGCGCACATGCACTATTTGCAGGGCACCTCGCGTTGGAAGCGTTCCACTCGCGTAGATGACAATCGCCATTCGAGTACTGCGAGGAGTTGTTCTGTGGCGTCATCTTCTTAAAGGGGGTGGGGGGGGGGCATTATCTGACTATGTTGAACTTCTTTCACACCGTCCGTAGCCACTCGTGCCAATCGGAGGTGCGGGCGCGAGGTGGTGGGTGCACGGCTCACTGCGAGAGCTCTGAATTGGACATTTAACGTCACGATGGCTTCATTGATTCATTCTCACGGACATCCTCGGAGGTTCTCCCTGCACTCCCGAGTGTCGTCGCCTGCCTCAGTAGTGTCGGGGAGCTTCCGCAGATTTCTGAATGTCGCGTCTGCTTCATAAAGAGCCGCGCGCTGCTACGAGCCGCTCACTCTTTCACGCTTCGCTGGGCGCGTCTCTACGTCGACGGTACTTGGCACCGCCATTGTAACGATGGCAGCGTGCGTTAAGGTGCGTGGCTAGGCGGGAAGTAATCCGAGGGCTCAACAAGGAGTGGAGTGGCAAGCGGAGGTGGCGTTTTCGGATTTAAAGTCGCGGTTTGCGGGCACAAGTTCGGCGCAATGGGTCGGGCATCGGTGCGAAAGATCGCTAGGGTTTAATTGATCAGTCCTCGGATCGACATGATTTGAAATCAGCGCTCCGACGATCGGGATTTGCATCATTCGGGTTCGAGTTATCGGGAAAAAAATGCTCGACTTTTAAACCATCAGCATTCGCATCATCAACACACATCATTCGTCGGATTATAACATTCCCATTCGAATCGTCGACATTTGTTTCACCGTCGTTCGAACAATTGATATTCGACAGATCGACTTGCAGATCATCACCATTCACACTTAGCAACACTCGAATAATCAGAGTTACCAATTCGGCATCGTTCGAACCTCGACCACCACCATCAACAGCATCATCGCCATCATCATCATCATCACTCGGTTCGAAGAAAACCCACGACCACTCGGGCGCCGAGAGTTTGCGAGCAAAGATGAACGCGACGCGCCTGTTCGGCGGAGACGCGAACGTGACGCGTCGCTACCTGACCCTGTACGACATCGACGTGGCGGCGGACGGCTCGGCGGGGCTTCGCATCGCCATCTCCGCCGTCTACTCCCTCGTGTGCGGCGCTGGCCTCCTGGGAAACTTGATCGTGGTGCTGCTGATGCGCGCCAAGCAACGATGGCGCAAGTCGGCCGTGAACACTCTGGTGCTGGGTCTGGCGCTCACCGACTTCCACTTCGTCCTGGTGCTGCCCTTCTGGGCGGCCGACGTGGCGCTGGACTACAGCTGGCCCTTCGGACGCCTCATGTGCAAGCTCGTGTCGGCCACCACGCTCATGAACATGTACGCGAGCGTCTTCTTCCTCACGGCCATCTGCGTCACGCGCTACCGCTACATCGCGGCAGCCATGCGCGCGCGGCCGAGGCCCACGTCGGCCGCGGCCCGGTGGGTGTGCGTCCTCATCTGGCTGACGGCCGCGCTCGTCGCCGCCCCGCACGCCGTCTTCGCGAGCACTCGCGCCGTGTCCGGCGACGTCCTCTGCCTCGTTCGATTCCCCGGCTCGGAGGACGCCGCCCAATTCTGGCTCGGCCTCTACCAGCTGCAGAAGGTGCTGCTCGGCTTCGCGCTGCCACTGCTGGTCATCAGTGTCTGCTACCTGCTGCTGCTGCGCTACCTGCGGCGCCACGGCGTGCCGGGCGAGCGCCGCAAGTGGCGCGTCACGCTCTCCATCACCGTCGTGGTGCTCTCCTTCTTCCTCTGCTGGCTGCCCAACCACGCCGTGACGCTGTGGGGCGTGCTGGTCAAGCACAACGCCGTGCCCTTCGGCAGCGCCTTCTACACGGCGCACACCTACGTGTTCCCCGCCACCGTGTGCCTGGCGCACGCCAACAGTTGCCTGGACCCCGTGCTCTACTGCCTCATGCGCGCCGAGTTCAGGAGGCGCCTGGCGCGCGCCCTGCACTGCTGCGCGAAGTGCGGCTCTCCCGTTGCCGCGTCGCGCCGCTGTCGCGTACGGCCCATGGAGCCGCGCGACTCCCAGCAGCAGCTCCAGCAGCAGGCGATAATGCAGGAGCAGCAGCAGCTGCAGGAGCAGCAGCAGCTGCAAGTGCAGCAGCAGCTGCAGCAGATGTGCGCCGCCGACCTGCTTCAGGCAGCGGACGGGGATATGATATCCGCGCAGGGGCAGGTGGCGCTGCCTATGCAGGAACGCTGAGCCGACATCTGTAGCAGCAGTAGCAATCGCGTGGCCAATAGTGGCGCCGCTTACGTCAGCGGCGGCACAGCCGGTGTTCGCAGAGTAAACAGCAGCAGCTGTCCACGTGCACTCCTGTAAGTAGTGAGTCACTTCCAGCACAGGAGTTCGTAACTCAGCAGTAGCAGCGGCACCAGGCCATTTGTTCCAATAGCAGCAGCATCGTCATAACCACCACCACTACAAGCAGCGGAAGCTGCTGCACTTCCATTCATACCGCCACTTTGATCAATCCTGTAACGCACTGTGGGGAGCAAGTGCTGTTAGCGAATATCAGCACGTGTGAGGCCCGGGAAGGGCACACGAGGGGGTGGGTGGGCAGCACCACGCCCGGTCGCCTTCATCTCCCCAGTGGCGATGTTTACACACCGCACCAGGTACTCATTTGAGGTTGAGTCGACCTAACTATACTTCGCAATCATCGCCATCCCCCTATTGCGAAAGTGAAAAAAATAATCATGGGACTCATTGTGGCTTCTCTGGATAACTGAAATTAGGAATAATAATTCTTAACAATAATAATTCGAATTAAGAATACCAGCATCAGAAGCTGCACCCGTAGAAGCAAGAGTGGCAGTACGAACACCAGCAGCAGTAGTATCAGCAGAAGCTAAAACTAAACAATGTTTATTTGTGATTTAAAGCTTTCGTGACTGCAGGGATTCATATTCTTGGTTATTTCGGTAAAGTCACCACGTAGAAGGGAAACAATAAAATAATAAAAATATATTTCATTGTTTCCCTTCTACGTGACTTTACCGAAAGAACCAAGAATATAAACAATTTTTATTTGACCAGGTAAGGTCCACTGAGCTAACGTAGCTCGTTTTCAGAAGCGGCCCGGCTATCACAAATGAAAGCTCAGCGAAGTTTATTATCATCGTGTGGAAATGTATAGCAGCCAAATACTCTAAACGCGTGTTGTTGAGTTTAAATGTGGAAGGAAAAGCCGGAGGACCTGGAGAAAAGCCACGCGACTATGGGGAGAGAGACACGCAAACTACAAATACACAGGAGACATCAGGGTCGGGATGGGGATCGAATCCACGACCTGTTTACCAGGCGAGATCGTTAACATCTCGCCCCCAGCAACAGCGATATCAGTAGCAGCAGAAAATAATAAGCAGCAATGTGTGCGTGTCCGTCTCTCCACCTCAAACAATCACAGTTATACTTAGCCCGTCAGCCATGCGACCTTTTGGGAGTGCATCATTTGAGCAACATTGATTCAAGACGAACAACTCTGCACTGGTTTCGACAGGCGGTGTCTCATCAGCAACTGTGCAGGGCTCATCTGCAATGGATATTCCTCGTTCCTATGGCGGGACCAATTATAACTCGACTTCACTGCGCAAAGACGCGCAGATTCATGTTACCAGCCTCAGTGGGATGATAATGTTCTTCTTTTGTACGGCTGCTCATGTAGGTGCAGAGCATCAACTACAATTTCACATTCACATGGTTATCAAGCCAGATAACCGCGTCAGGAGTAGCGGAGTGTATCATCATCGCTGTGATGTCTCCTTCGTATTTGTGGATCGGGCATTGCGTCATTACACGTTGTACGGCCTGTTCTGGATGACCACAGTCACACAGTGGAGAGGTTCCATTTGTGCATCAGGTGTCCACATATGTCATGGTTTGCGCGTATGTGGTTTAGGATGGACCATGAGCTTCGTGGAAGATCAAAGCAGTAGTGATGATGATGGGTGATGACAGTGGCGGTGATAGTGATGATAATGATGGTGAAGTTACCGCGTTAATCCTCGAATGATTTCAACTTTTAGCATTGCATCATGATGTGCATTGTTCTGCAGCCTACAATGACTGAAGTGTATCATGTGTGGAGTTGGTGATTGATGTACCGTGTTCTGCTGTGTGCTACACACTTCGTGCTGTGTGTGGGGGTGCGTGTACTGAGCACCCGTGGGGAGCGGTGGTGTAGCAGTTAGCGCACTGCGCTGCGAACCCGGCAAGCCGACTTTGATTCCCGCTCACGGCGGCTATCACCAGTGACGATTATCTGAACCGGTCCTAGGCCTCCCCTAGGTCGACTCAGCCTCAAATTAGTACCTGTTGCAGTGTGTAAACATCGCCACTGGTGAGACAAAGACGGCCGGGCGTGGTGCTGCTCGCCGTTCCGGCCTTCATAGGTGCTCGCTAACAGCACTTGCCCCAACAGTCTGTTAGGACTGTACGGGAGATCTTTGTCTTTGGAGTTTTAATATCCTTAAGCAGCGTATACGTGAGATAGGGAAATCAAATGCGTCGTGCACGTGTTTATGGTGTCATGCTTTCTGAACGTAATCTAGCAGAAGGAAGGAAGCGATGGCGACGTGTAGCAGCTTCACTGACACTGCCAAGTGTTGACCTCTTAACTATAAGGACTCCCCCGGCCCCACGGTTCTGGCGATAGTTTAACCGCTCATAAACCGATTGACGTCCACACACGGCGTGGGAGCTGCTCGTGGTGTCACGGTCAGCACAGCGGACTCGCAATCCAGGAGGTCGCCGGTTCCATCTCCCAGCCCGGCAAGTTGAGACAATGGAGCGAGTTGGGGCGGGTTACCGTCACAGTCGATCAGGCAGGTCGCAAGTGGTGAAGAGTGTGGGTAGCCCCACCTCTTCCAACACGTCTGGTCAACGCGAAAGAGTAGGCCAAAAAAGCCCTCTAGAATTCGCATTCAGTGGAGGCCCCACTAGCATGTCGCGTCATCTGGCAATTGCAAGGGTTGATCGCTGTGCCCTTAGTTACACGCCGTAGGTACACGGAAGGGGATTTGTCCCAAGCATCTCCACTCAGGAGCCACATGACAATGCGTCTGGAGAGTCTGAGAGGCCTTGCTCGATACTCGCTGTAGACAACCAAACGGCCATCGGTGTGGCCTTAGCAGACCAAGGCCTTCTTCTGTCGGCTTTCATTTAAGGAGGCATGCTCCGGGCCCGTTTCTAATTTCTGAATCTCATCATCATCGTAATAATGGTGAATAGTAAAACAGATGTTATCATACGGGTGAGAGTTAAACACACAAACTGTGTAGTGTGTGTATATATCTGTATGTGTATGTAGTGGAGTATGAAGGTGTGTTGTGGAAACTGCGCGATTGCATGATCACACGAACTGTGGGTTATCTTGGGTTAGCCTGTGGAGAAGGCGAAAACAGTGTAGGTCGTGTTAGGACAGCCAGGTGCAAAGGCTGGGATGATGAGGTAACGGTTGGGCCAATTAAGCCAGAGGATCAGCAACGGCGGTGATTGGCTGTGGCTGTTGTCAAGGGCGAGGAGGCGTCGAGATGTCTGGGGAAAGGCAGGTGTTTGAGGACGCGAAGCGTGCGGAGGCACGCGGGCCAATTAATTAGCGGTAATGAGAATGGGGATAAATTGGGGGGAGACAGTTTGGAGACAGAGTTTGGAGACGGAGACAGACTGTGAAGCAAGACGAAGTAGTTAGCGGTGGAGTGAGCGTAGCAGTAGCAGAGCTGAAGGCGGAGTGTGCGAAGTCGCTGTGTGCGAAGGAGCTGAGGAGAATAGCCAGCAGTGGAGAGAGCGTAGCAATAGCGGAGCTGAAGACGCTGTGTGCGGAGTTGCTGAATGGGGAGTCGTTGAGTGCGAAGCAAGTGAAGTGATAGTGGGGAGACAAAGGTGGTGAGCGAGACGAGCGGAGCACGGCGAGCGAGCCGTGGTGACCAGGATACTGTGGAGTGTGGAGGACATGTTGAATGTTGTAAATAAAGCGTTGTTTGAAGACAGAAGTTGTCCACGTAAAGTCGAACACTACGTGTATATGAAGTAGCCGTATGTTTTGTCTTGCAGGTGAGGTTTAACCACGAAATATTTTGCAATACAATTGAGATTTATGTTGCATATAAATGCTACTGCGTCTCAAGGCGCTGGACACAACAGTGCAACCCTAAGACATTCCAGCGAAGTATGGTTATTTATGTATTTAGCCCCCCCGCCCTCCCTCCACGACCCCCCCCCCCCCAACGCACGGACCCCTCCACTCTTCCTTTCTCTCCTCCCCTTGTTCCTTCCCTCATTCCCTTCTCGTTCCCTCCTGTCCCCGTTCCCTCCTCTTCTTCCCTTCTCGTTCCCTCATCATGTGCGTTCCTGCTCTTTGAGACGTCTTAAGAAAAGGGCGCATTACAAATGTACGTTGTTGTCTTGTAAAAAAAAAGATTGTCACGGCTCGAAGAAAATCTAATTGTGCTTGACAAGCAGCAGGGAGTCGACAGCACTGAGTGGATGATGGGAGAGAGTACCAGACTCGGGGGGAGGGATCGGCACAGGAGAGTGAGCGACCTCTGACGAAGCGAAAGTTTCAATGGAGGCAGTGGCATAGTGACGACATTATCGGTGGTGTAGTAACTATTATAATGTAGTTAGTACACCACTGAAAATGTAGTTACTCTGCCACTGATAATGTCGTTACTACGCCACTGATAATGTAGTTACTACGCCACTGATAATGTAGTTACTACGCCACTGATAATGTAGTTACTACGCCACTGATAATGTAGTCACTACACCACTGATAATGTAGTTACTACGCCACTGATAAAGCAGTTACTACATCACCGATAATGTAGTTACTACACCACCGATAATCTAGTTACTACACCACTGATAATCTAGCTACTATGCCACTGATAATGTAGTTACTACACTACCGATAATCTAGTTACTACGCCACTGATAATGTAATTACTACGCCACTGATAATGTAGTTACTACGCCACTGATAATGTAGTTATTACCCCACTGATAACACTATGTAACACAATTTTTGTTCCTGGGTAGTAAGTGTTATTTCGTAATTGCATATACCTAAAAAGTATAGAAAATGGCTATTATTCCCCACAAACGTTTCTTTTGTGACCAGGATAGTGATATTTTTAAGTTTACCTTTTTCTATGATAAAACTGGCGAATTTATGTACTTTCGTTCACATAAAGTCAGAAAAAACATATGAAGAAAAATGTATATGCATTTATACTAAAGTAATACAAAATTAATACAACAGATTTAGAAGTGAGTAGTTTTTCGAGATTTACGATTATACTGTAAATCACTTTCACGAATCAGCCCTGAAATGTAGTATCCCATCATGTTCTCGCTGTACTGTCATTGGTTGTGGCATTCAAAGTCCAGTATATCCTGGTGGAAGCGCTCGCCTTTCATCTCCGAGTACGCTCCCATGTACTCCTTGAATTTATCAAGATGAGCATCAAGGATATGGACTTTGAGGGACATCCTACAGCCTATTGTGCCGTAGTTCTTTACCAGTCTTAACCAGCTCCACGTAGTTTTCGACCTTTTGATTGCCCAGGAAGCCACGAACCACTTTAACAAAGCTGTTTCAAGCCACTTTCCCCTTACTAGTGAGCTTCTTGGGAAATTCATTGCACTCCAGGATCTTCTTTATTTGTGGTCCGACGAAGACACCGGCTTTGACCTTTGCCTCAGGCAGCTTAGGGAGGAAGTCTTGAAGGTACTTGAAGGGTGCCGACTCCTTATCTATAGCTCTGACAAATTTTTTCATAAGACCCAATTTGATGTGCAGTGGTGGCATCAGCACCTTCCGGGGGTCCACCAGTGGCTCCCACTTGACGTTGTTCCTCCCCACAGAGAACTCGGTCCGCTGTGGCCAGTCCCGCCTGTGGTAGTGCGC